CCAGTGGTTCAGAACTCACCTTGCTAAGCAGAGGACTCAGGTTCGATCTCTGGTCAAGGAACTAAGATCCCACATGCCAAGGAGGAACTAAGCCCGTGAACCACAACTACTGAGTCTGAGCACCACAACTACTGAGTCTGAGCACCACAACGAAACATACTACATGACACAACTAAGACCCTACACGGCCAAATAAATTTAAAAAATTGGAATTAAGATACAAGGGAACTAGTTTCATTCCAGGGATAATGAGTGCCAACTGATAACACACGAACTTATTGGCTTGGGTAGTCAAGCCTCACTGTGACAGGCAAGGTAGAAAATTAAATTCAAATTTAATCACCTGTGGTAGGTAGAAAACTGCCCCTCCCCTCCCCATGATGTCCACATCCTATTCCACAGAATTCGTATATATGGCCCCTTATACTAGCAAAGAGAGACTTTGCAACTGCAATTAAATTAAGGATTTTGAGATGACATTATCCTGGATTATCCATTTGGCCCAATATAATCACAAGGGCCCTTTTAGGAGGGAAGCAAGAAGGTCAGAGCAGATGTGATGACAGAAGCAAAGATCAGAGGAAAGAGAAAGATCTGAAGATGTTATGCACTGCCAGCTTTGAAAATAAGAAAAAAGACTGTGAGTCAAGGAATGCAGAGCACCTCTAGAAGGTGGGAAATGGAAGGGAAAGGATTCTCCCTGAGCCTCAAAAAGTAGCTAAGCATTGCTGACACTTTGATTTTACCTCGTAAGAGCTATTTTGATCTTCTGACCTCCAGAACTACACAGTAATATTTGCGTTGTTTTAAGCCACCAAAAGCTTTGGTAATTTGTTATATCAGCAATATGAAGCTAATGCAATGCCTAAACAATATCTTCTTAGCCAGCAATGGTAATCAAAACTTACCTTCTAGGAAAGAATGATCTCGAACAGCTTCTGCAGCTAATACAGATTTCCCACAACCTGCCATTCCATATATGGTGACCCATCCCGGTTCACCATTCAGCTTAGAGAGCTTCTGCTGAACTGCATTCACTAGCTTCTTCCTAGTAACAAAAACAACGGGCCTCTGTGGTACTCCACCTTCACACAGGACTGTCCTTACTGAAATCCAAAACAAAACAAGTATGAATGAAGAGAACTTTGAAATGGTTACTCAAGTAATTCTATAAAAACCAAAGAGAACAGGCTGAGATATCCACCAGAATTTCCAAGAGAAGAAAACATGGCTAGTGTATTAACTTTAACTTTCTGATTTCTCAGAACACCCAGAACAAAAGTAAAGATACACCTTTCAAGATGACTACAAAGCAATGAAAATCTCCATTTATATCTGCCCTGACTCATCCTCTCCCTAACTCTCCAATCTTTTTCTCATACTTAAGATTAAGAAGAGCGTGTAAAGGAAAGAATATGGAATTGCTTTCAAAGGCATAGATTTCTAAACATCTGCTCTTTCCTATGCTTGAATTTGGTAAACACAAAACTGGAGAAAAATTTAAAGGCTTATAAATTATCTTATTATCTCTAAAAATTAAGGTATGTATATTATTATCTCAGCAGTAGATAGTTCACTGGGTAAGGAAATGAGAAAGTAATATGGACACAAATAAAAATATCTGAATTGGAAAACAAGACTATAATTTTTTCACATGCATGTTTCACTGAACTGTTAAGTCTCTCCAGCAGACACCATATACAATGAAACAAAACTTCAGCCACGTAGTCATTATGATAGAAGGCATCATGGGTACAAACCATATGAAGTTATTCCACTAACTGAATCTTTGCCATCAGAAGAAGAGATGACAGGAATGCCACCGTGCAGAAGGGCAGCAAGATCTTTGTAACCTTCATGGAGTAGAGCATTGTAGAATGATATATAAGAATAATTATCTTTTTTAAGTATCATTTTAATTAGCATAGCTGCTCGTTGCCGTTGGGTGGGCTAAAAAAAAAAAAAGCAATTCAGTATACTATAAAGAATATATTTGCCAAAAAAAAAGAATATAATTGCAACATAAATTAATGGACACCAGTATAAATTTTGAAATAAATTCTAAGAATTTTTAAGAAAGTACAGACTGAATTTTTTAAAAATCAAAAAGAAAGCACAGGCTGCCTCAGAGGACTTTACCTCATTTTTCACTTTTTCCTCCTCTGACACTGTTAAAACTCCATTACTAATCATGTGATCCATGATGTAGGATGTTTTGATGTCCCTTTCCAAGGCTTCTCTATGTTGAAGCAAACAATTTCGAGCTTTTGCATCCATCTTCCCTCAGGTTTTTCTTTCTCTGAGCTGTCAACCATGAGCTACAGGCAAAACATCAAACTCTTGTCAGGCCAATAAAGATATGAAAAGACGTACAACCTCACTGGTATTGAAAAATATAAAGAAAGGATTTTATTGTTGCAAATTTTTTTAAATAAACAAAATCCAATGCTTTCAAAAATGTGAGGAAATTAGTATTCTTTTAAGATACCTGAGGAGAGATAGGGAATTTGGGATAGACATGTACACAGTGCTATACTTAAAATGGATAACCAACAAGGACCTATTGTATAGCACAGGGAACTCTGCTCAATGTTATGTGGCAGCCTGGATGGGAAGAGTTTCAGGGTGAATGGATACAGGTATATGTGTGGCTGAGCCTCTTAGATGTCCACCTGAAACTATCTCAACATTGTTAACTACGTGTGTGTGCGTGTGTGTGCGGGTGTGCAGTCCGCCAGGCTCCTCTGTCCATAGAATTCTCCAGGTGAGAATACCAGAATGGGTTGGTTTATTAGCTATACTCCAATACAAAATAAAAGTTTTTTAAAAAAGTACCTGAGGGGAGTACAAAGTGTATGCAACTTTTCTGGAAGGCAATATACGATGTATTTAAAGTAAGCATTCTCTTTAAACCAGAAATCCCACTTCTAGGAATCTACCTCAAAGAGATAGTTATATATGCATGCAAAAAATATCCACAAAAAGAGTTAAAAGAATGTTTAGGTAAGATTAAAACAACCTAAATGCCCATCATTCTGAGTATGAATTTAAAAAATTAGAGTATGTATATACAATGGACTATTACACAGCCATTTAAAATAAGACACACCTCCATGTACGGACATGGAAAGGTGTTCATGACACATAACTGAGAAAGTTTTAAATATGACCCCATGTGTAGCACAAAATATGTGTTGGTGTCATCTAAATACATACGGAGATGTTTAGAAGTCTGTTCAACATAATGTTTGGGTTACTTCCAAGAATCAAGATTTGGGATTTTTTCCCCTTTCTTTTCTGTTCTTTTCTACACTATCTTAATTTTTTTCAATACTCATTATCATTTGTACAATTATAAAACTTTAAGACTTTATAAATAATGATCATATTGAAGTCCTAATAATTACAAACTTCTTGATTTCTTTGCCATCATAAAACTAAATAGTGCATTCTATTGAGTATTAGTTCTCACTCAAGATAGGCGTCAGCTGGTATGTCTTCACACGTTTCTCCCGGACTTACTCCACGAGTTTCAGCTGAGCTGCTAAGTATGACAAAGCAACAGAAAATATCCACTGATGTCATTTCTTAGATTAGGAGGACATAAAAGCAGAAGAATATTCTTCATAATATAATACTCGAAGTTCCTATCAACTTTATTTCAAATATGATGGAAATTTTTCAATGAGTATAAACCCCAGATCAGAATGTTTGCAAGTTTTTAAACAGAATCTACTAATGTATTACAGTGAGTGTCTCAATGTGCTTATTAATGTATGTACTCAATAAATATTTGAGTCCCTCCTATGTAGGGCCCGGAATCTACAGAAATTAAATTATACCTATGAAGGAATTCACTATCTGGCAGAAGAGGAAAATACAGATAACTATAACGTGATGCACTGAGTGCAAAGAGATAAGCATAAGTAATTTTGAGCACACGGAAGAGGAGTAATAAGGATAAGCCTCAATACTGACTAAAAAGTATGACCGTATGTGTCAGCTGCATACAAAGGTAAGTGAAGCATTTCCCCATTATTGTCAAGGTTCACAAAATGCCCAGTGCTGGCATGAAACTGCTTGATACAAGAAAAAGTTATGGTTAGGAACAGGGCTACGATAATTTTTAAGTGTTAATAAAGTTTTTATGATCTCAAACATAAAATGTCCCTTAATTTTACAGTAACAAAATTTGGTTTGACAAAAACAGAAATAAACTTTTTAGGTTAGGTCCAATAGCTAAGGCAAAAAACACTCTGAACACTTGTAACTAATTTTCAATTTTACCTAGCCCTATTAAAACTAAAGAAATTAAGTTAAAACTAAAGAAAAGTTAAAACTAATTAAGTTTCACATGTTGTTTTTCTAAACTCTGTCCCCATTGAAACATTATGAACAGATTCTCAGCGTCCCACCTTTTGTACCCACATCAACGTAAAGTCAGGACTCGTGAAATATAAAGGTCAGTTTCATGCAGGAAAGCCGTAACAGTTGACCAGTTCCTTTTTAGACATTTCTCTTCCTGGTACAGTATTAGAACGATTAACAAGTATCCCGTGAACGAGAATTCTCAGTCCCTTAAACTGGCTACTGAACCTCCGGAGAACCCAATTCTGAAAGAAAAGCGAGACGCAAACTTACCCAAACCTTAGCACAAGGGTCTTCACTGGGAAATCAAGCTGGGGTTGAAAGGAGGCAACAGGGCTTCCAGAAAAAAAGTCAGGGCTCGGGACACAGGCCGGGGTAGGTCGGGGCCTCACAGGTGTCTCACCTGAGCGTCCGCAGCAAGGGGGGTAGCTGAAGGCCCCCCGCGAACCTCCGACCCGCAGAGAAGGGGGCTTCACCCCCCAGGCGACCGTCGCAGTCCCGGGGCGCCGAGGTGGTAACTCCAACCCAGACACAAAGGAAGGAGGGTCACTAGGGCTGTGGCTCCTTCCCTCAGGCTGCAATTGCAGCCGGGCGGACGCCGGGCGCCACTCTGGACGCCGCCGCCGCCGCGGCTACTTCATGTCCTCGCGGGTCGCTGACCCCCTCAGACTCCTCACGGTCGGCCCCCTTACTCCTTCCGCACAGAAATAAAGGGAGCCTCTCCGCCTCAGGACCGCGGAGCTTTCAAAACCCGCCTGCGGGCCCAGCTGGGACGTCGCGGCCACGCGCATGAAAATAAACACACCCGGAAATTCACGGGAAGGCCGCCGCCGCGCGCGCTCTGCCGCATCTTGTGCCCGCGCGCGCACGAGAAAGCGCCTCCGCCCCACCCACTGCGGGGGCGCGGCTAGGCCCCTCAGGAAGGGAGGGCCCAGGCGGCGGCGCGCTCGACGTGGCGCGCGCGGCCCTGCCTCGCCCGCCCCGCCCCGCCCCCTGGCGTCCTGACGGCCACTAAGCGCCCGAGAGCCACGGTATCCTCGGGCTTGCATTTGTAAAGCAGAGGTTTGGCGACGTGGGGTTGCCCCCTACCCCACCTGGAGGGACTCGAAAACGGGTGGCTGGGAGACGCTGTGGAGCAGCGAGATGATGGCCGGGAGGGAGGGGAAGGGGGCTGGCTTCTGGGCGGTGCCAAGTCTAAAAGGGGGCGCGGTCAGCGCCGAGCTGTCTCGCAGAGGCTGAGGCGGCCACGTCCCGCTACCCAAGGTTGTGGAGGCGTCCCTCTATTTGTCCTCGGGACCGCCAGACATGTCCGAGGTGAAGAGCCGGAAGAAGTCGGGGACGAAGGGAGCCCCGGCGGAGCCTGGGAAGCGGAGCGAGGGCGGGAAGAGCCCCGAGGCTCGGGGTGGTGGAGGCGGGGGCTGGGCCGACCCCCGGACCGGCGTGAGCCTGCTGTCTCTGGGGACGTGCCTGGGCCTGGCGTGGTAAGTGGTCTGAGGCCGCTGGGCCGTGTCTGGCCTCCCGTGCTCGCCCTCTGCTTGGGCTTCCGCCTCTGCCCCAGCCCCGCACTGCTCGGCATCCTACTGACCTCCAGCTCCCAAACTTGCTGCTTCTGTTTCTCTGCATCAACCCCAAAGAAGGGACGACCCAGCTTTTATTTTCCCTTTCGCTCATTTCTTGTACTGCCTGCGTGCCTGATCGCCCAACTGGAGTTGAGGCTAATATTTGGGAATGAGGCAGCCATTAAGAGGCTTCCCTGGTGATTCAGATGGTAAAGAATCTGCCGGTAGGTGCAGAAGACCTGGGTTGGGAAGATCCCCTGGAGAAAGAAATGGCAGCCCACTCCAGTATTCTTGCCTGGAGTATCCCGTGGACAGAGGAACCTGGTGGGCTACAGTCCGTGGAGTCCCAAAGAGTCGGACACAACTGAGCGACTAACACTTGCATTTTACTTTCACCACTAAGCAACGTACATTCGGCCAAACTTCCATTAAGCGCGCGTTCTTCACGACTGAAGCGTTCCCGTTTTTATAACCCGTTACTTCCTGTCCACTGTGCATTGGGACAAATTTGCCCCACCCCATCAATGCCTTGTGGCAACATTTACAACTTGAAAAAAAATTCATTTTGATCTTAAAGAACCAACGTTCATGATAATATCAAATTTTGGAGGAGTGCTCATATTTGAATCAGTGTGCATGTGTTCAAAATCTATGCCTAAGTTACAGATTGGATTTTAGTATTGGAAAGCTACAAAAGCACAGAACTTGTGTTCACCGAAAAGTACATATATATAGTTTTTAAGCCAAGCAGATAGGGATATAATGATGTCATAAGAAAAATGAATATTAAAAAATAACCTTACAACCAACTTCTTTTTCTCAACCATATCCTTTAGGGTTAACATCTTTCACTTTAATAACGGGACTGATGCTTTAGAGTTTCCCTCCATTTTCCAGCGATTTTTGAAGTATCTATAAGATAGTTACTCGTATTCAAGAGTAATTGGATTCTAGAAGCGACCCCAGACGTTCTCTCGTCTAGATTATTTTTGATGCTAGTAAATTTTGAAGTATACTGATCACTCATCCTGAGTCGAAGTCAATAAAATATGTTACTAATACAATAAAGTGAAATGTTGATTATTAAATACTCTCTTCAAAGAGATAAACTGTTATCTTACTAATATAGTATATTTATCGAATATTTTGATCTTAAATGTACAGAATTTACTATTTTAAATAAACTGGTTTTATGCCTTAAAATGCATGAGTTTCTTTGGGTAAATCAAAAACTGTGCTGGCAAAGTTGCTCAGAACTAGAACTTAGTAGGCTAAAATATATAGGTTGCTTCTTTCTGGAACCTAATACAACTGGTTTTAGTTACTGAATTCATTAATTCTTATTAACTATCCAGAGATTTATATTCATATGAGATAAAATACTTAAGAAACTGTTCAGCTTTTCAATAATTTAGTTACTATCCTGGGAAGCCACACTAATAGGAAAAAGCTGTTGAAAAGCAGACACTTCAGCTTAGGAATTTACTGTTAGTGCCTACAATAAAGAAACAAACAAGTTCTATTCAAGTAGGAAGATTTTATTTGAACTGTGTCTTTGCAACATAATAAAACAATGCTCAAAGATTATTTTTTAAATGGGCAGATTCAATGATTGTTATTGCTCTGATGAAATCTTTTGCCGTAAGAGTTGAAGTATAAATTCAGTCACTATAGCAAATAGCTATTCGTGATAAATTTGGGAATAACAAATTATTAAGTCATTAGGAAGAATTTCCTACATTAAAAAATATTTAGAATTCTGAAAATACTAAAAAGCACACTGGAATTGTAACTAAGCCACTGACATTTTTACCACTAGGATTAGCACCTAAAGATCATTCTGTTGAAAATGCATACTGTACTGACACTGTCCTAGTTTTTTAAATACAAAGTTGAATATGTTTGCCTAAATACAGCTTAGGAGTGAGTCTAAGTTAGGGCAGAGTTTTGAACGCCTGCACTGTCCATGGAGGATTTTAAGGCATCACCATTTCAGTATCTTCAAACCTTTAGTCTTTGGATCCTTGTTTGGAAAATAAACAGAGACAATGCATAATAAAATGGTGGTACTTAAAACATTTTTCAGTTAAATGAAGTGCTGATAATCATCTTCTGTCAGCTTAACAATAAGATGGAGATAAGAGTTGCTCAGGACTGTACGGCCTGAGTGTTGGTTTGCATACCTCATTTATAAATTCTTTAAGAATATTTTCCAGATAAGAGTATTGAAGACATTATGCTTTCAGAAAGTTTTTAAAGGTTATGAACACACAAAACACAAAATCTTAAAAGCTTCTTATTACACAGAAATTTAGTCAACTAGAAGTTCCATTGTAAAATTTTAGGGTTTCTTCTGAAAATTTAAACAGATTCTCTAATTGCTTTTATAAAAGTTTGCCATAGCATTTGTGATAATTATGTATCAAAAGTCAAAAGCTCTTTTCAACAATCAGATAATTCAGGGCTTTTTTTCCTCTATCAACTAATACAACTTTATAAATCATTTATACAGCAAAATCTTGGCTGACTCCATTTTTCAGCTTTTGTTGTCATTAGTAGAGTTTAAAAGACAGAGGTATCCTTTAATTGTCTTTTTTTTTTAATGGAATATGATCATTGTTTTCCTGAACTTTCAGTATTATGTTAAAAATGAAGTTGTGGTATGAAACATGGCTAAATGGGTACTGACCCTAGTAGTGGCCCTGGAACTCCCATTCTTGCAGAGGGTTCATGATAATAGCTTCTTTGGGGTTGCCTCTTTCTTATTACTAGTTGAAACAGAGCCAGAGAAAATCCTGTATATATAAATCCTCAATCAGCTGTCTTCCAACACAAGGAAATGCATGGTTTATTCCTAAGGGCCCTGAGTCTATATGAGACCTCTGTAAACTGCAATGGATTATGAAGGAGTCAGAAAGATTCTTTTTGTTAAGGCCTACACTAAGGTAACCAGTTCATCTAGGGCCTTTTCCTCTATATCCATACCTTTAAAATCTTTAACTATGATCGTGAAAAGAGGCCGCAAAACATGGGGTAAGAGAGTGCTTCTTTTCCTTTTAGTGGATCTCATCCATTCATTCCGTCCTTTGTTGGCTGTAAACCCAAGGCTGGTTCAAACAGACCTGGAGCTTCTAATGATATCAAGTGTAAGTAGAAGGGAGACCTGATCTATTTTACCACTGTAGGCTTGTCTGAAAATGGGAAATGCAAGTGCACAAAGCAATTCAAAAGAAAAACTTACTTAAAAAAAAAAGTACTTAAAGAGGTACTTAAAGAGAATAGTTGATGTTTTATGTTCCAGGAACTGTAAGAGCTTTATAAATATAAACCTATTTAATCTCTACAACACCCTAATCCCCACTTTACAGATGAGGAAACTAGCAAAGGTAAGTTAAATAACTTGCCCAGGATGGTTATACAGCTAGCAGATGACAGAGCCAAAGTTGCCCAGCTTCACATTCAACCGGTATGACATGCTGTCCACCTTTAGTATTAATCCACAAACAGGCCAAGATCCTAGAAATAGAAATCCCTAGCCTAGAATTGTTTATAATCATTTTCTTTCTTCTCCTAGCCCTTAGCAGACCCTAACTGTTGTCTTATCTAAGGGAAAGAAGATGGGAGTAAGGAGGTTTTGAACTGCTTCTGTTTGAAAATCCCTAAAACGAAACAAAGCACCTTCGGCACTAATCCGGATGCCAGTTTCAAAAATTACTGTTTCAGAATTGAAACCACCTTCTCTCGGTGTACATTTTTGGCTTCTAGAAAATGGCTTCATCCTCATCCTTAATGTTAAATGAGTTAATGTTTATAAAGCTCTTAGAATAGTGTCTGGCACTTCTAAGTGAAAAATAAACTGGGAATTCCCTGGTGGTCCAGTGGTTAGGGCTTTGAGCTTCCACTGCAGGGGGCTCAGGTTCATCCCTGGTTGGGGAACTAAGGTCCCTCATGCCATGGGGTGTGGCCAAAAAAGAAAACAAATGTATTTTAACTCACCATCATAGAGACCACTGTTGATTATTTTCATTACACGCTAAATAAACTTCATACCTGTTTTTTCTTATATGCACTATTCATATGTAGAAATGGTGAATTTTTTTTCCATTTTGGTGAGACGCTAACTATGAAAAAAACCTGCAAATTATCATCAGAAATGATCACTCATATAATACAGTTTTCTTCAAGTTTTTGCTTAATATTTGAGATTTTGAGACATGCAGAGATAGCATTAAAAAGATTAAATAAAGTGAGAAGTCCTGTAATGAATTTTAATGGATCAACCATCACAAAAAGTTCCCTGTATAGTAATGATGTTATTCTAAATGAACACATTGATCTACAGAACAAATCCATGAGTTAACACTGGAGTAATGGATGATAAAACCAATTCCTGAAATTAGGCATTTCTTTAGAGTGGTCTTTCTTCTTCCTCTCTGTCTACTGGTCTCTTAAAAGCCAAGAATGAAATAGCCAATCAGAAAAGAGTTTTTGACACATCTTTCTTTGAAATTAGGATAATAGTGTTTCTAACAACTAGAAGCTTTGTTTAAAAGTTCGTATTAACACACAGAAGTCAATCTGTACTAATTATGCAACCTGGGCTTGCTTACTTAAATCATTTATCTCATAGGATAAATATTCAGTTCAGTTCAGTCGCTCAGTTGTGTCTGACTCTTCACAACCCCATGAATCACAGCACGCCAGGCCTCCCTGTCCATCATCAACTCCCGGAGTTTACTCAAACTCATGTCCATCGAGTCGGTGATGCCATCCAGCCACCGCATCCTCTGTCATCCCCTTCTCCTCCTGCCCCCAATCCCTCCCAGCATCAGGTCTTTTCCAATGAGTCAACTCTTCACATGAGGTGGCCAGGGTATTGGAGTTTCAGCTTCAGCATCAGTCCTTCCAGTGAACACCCAGGACTGATCTCCTTTAGGATGGACTGGTTGGATCTCCTTGCAGTCCAAGGGACTCTCAAGAGTCTTCTCCAACACCACAGTTCAAAAGCATCAATTTTTTGGTGCTCAGCTTTCTTCACAGTCCAATTCTCACATCCATCCATGACCACTGGAAAAACCATAGCCTTGACTAGATGGACCTTTTTTGGCAAAGTAATGTCTCTGCTTTTTAATATGCTGTCTAGGTTGGTCATAACTATCCTTCCAAGGAGTAAGCGTCTTTTAATTTCATAGCTGCAATCACCATCTGCAGTGATTTTGGAGGCCAAAAAAATAAAGATAAATATTAGCCGTTATCAAAAGAAATTTATTTCATCCAACATTGTAAACATTTGTTTAAAAACACAAAAAGTCCATTTTAGTTTTGTACAGTTTTAAGTAACAGCCTATTGATAACTGAGTTTGACTCACAAAACTCAGAAGCCTTTCACCTCTCCATTGAGGTTTGAAATCTTTAAATGTTTGTCTTTCACTCTGTCTTCCACTCTTTTTACAATACTGTCAATTAGTCGTTCTCAACTTGGCTGGGATGTTTGAAAATTTATGTCATAGTCACATCCCAAATCAACTAAGTCCAAATTTCTGTGGTAGGGCCTAGACATTACACATTTTTAAAGCTGCCAGGTGACTCCAATATGCAGTGAAGCTTTTGAACCACTGGCCCACATACTCTGATTAAGTCACTCCTCCAGTTCCTACTGGGCTTCACTTGTGGCTCATCTGGTAAAGAATCTACGTGCAATGTGGGACACCTGGGTTTGATCCCTGGGTTGGGAAGATCCCCTGGAGAAAGGAACAGCTACTCACTGCAGTATTCTGGCCTGGGTCACAAGAAGTTGGACATGACTGAGTGACAGCCATGTCACTTCCAGTTCCTATGGTTTTGCTCCTCTGCTTTTTTATTTTGCCACACCACAGGGTTTGCCCCTTTCGAGATCTCACTTCCCCGACCAGGGATTGAACCCGGGCTCTCAGCACTAGAGCGCTGAGTCCTAACTACCGGACCAGTAGGGAATTCCCTTCAGGTCAGAGTCGTGCCTGACTCTTTGCGACCCCGTGGACGGGAGCATGCCAGGCTTCCCTGTCCATCCCCAACTCCTGGAGCTTGCTCAGACTCATGTCCATCGAGTTGGTGATTTGATAACAATAAATACACAAAGAATTTCAGCAGCTACTTTTTCTGGGCCCAAAGAATTGAGTCAAAATAGCTTAACCCAAATGGTGCTAGATCCAAAACATTCCTTTTGTGCCTGGTCATTTCAAGTCCTTACAAACAGAAGTTTATTTGTTGTTTTTAAGTTTGGGATAATTTTTTTTGTGCTTCTACCCTTTACCAGATGGAGAATACATTCCAATTTTAGATTGGCATCTAAAGGACACTTATGCAGCTCATCATTTAGAGTATACTCAACTGTACATATTACACACCTTGAAAAGCATATGTGTTCTATTGTCACATGGACAATGATTCCTATTTTCAGTTTTGACTCCTGATATTTTTTTACTTCTAATAATCATCACCTCTCTCTTCCACTCCATGGCTTTTTTCTCTTCTCCTACAGTTTTATTTTTAAATGCTTTTTTAACTTAGATAACTTTTGCTTCTACATCTCAGTGTAACACACTTATTTTCTAGATATTACTCAAATATCGCCTTGAAAAAATAGTAGAGATCACATATCTCACTCTAAATAATTCATTACTTCTTTCTTCCAAATGTTTCTTGCATGTAATTTCTATTACAGGTGTTACTGCATCCCACTTACTGAGCTGTAAACTTGAACAAAGGCAGTGTTTCACTCTTATTTGCATTAAACCAGTACCCAACTACATATCAAGCTTTCCCAATGTTTGCTGAAATCAACTAAACTCATGTTTGTTGAAATAAACTACCTATACCAGAATTTATGTTGTCCTTACCAGAAGTGGGCAAAAATACTGCTTTAACATTCAGACTTTAGTGGGTATGAATTAGAAAGTAATGACTTTTTTTTCACCTTTTCTAGGTTTGTATTTCAGCAGTCAGAAAAGTTTGCAAAGGTGGAAAACCAATACCAGTTACTGAAGATGGAAACCAGTGAATTCCAAGGGCTTCAGAGTAAAGTCAGTTTAATTTCAGAAAAGGTAATTATTAATTGACATATTTGGAGAGATTTTACCATTTTTCTTCCCCATTGCCACCCTTCTACCCCAGTTCATAGATTCTTTTTTCCTGCCTTTTAGACCATTAGTACTTTAACCGTTGCTGTTTTTCCTTCTTCTTCACATTCTTCCTTCAGTCTAAGCTAACCTTAGATTACATTTTGAAAGGACAAGACTTTTCTTAATATATAACAAATGTTATTGTTTAAAAGGACCAATCTTCTCGTATTGATGGACCTCAACTTTCTATTTAAATATCAAGTATCTAGGACGCTGAAAATATAGTTGATTTTTAGGTATAAACTTAGAATAGTAACTCTTGTTGGGCAAAGATCCACTGGTTTTTGTTTTATTTCTACTTGGCAAGTATATACATATTCATATGCATATAAGAATGACTAACCTAAAATAAGGGGCTTCCCCAGTGGCTCAGATGGTAAAGAGTCTGCCTGTAATTCAGGAGACGCGGGTTCTATCTCTGGGTCAGGAAGGTTCCGTGGAGTAGGAATTGTTCAGTATTCTTGCCTGCAAGAGGCCATGGACAGAGGAGCCTGGCGGGCTACAGTTCATGAGGTCACAAAAGAGTCGGACACAGCTTAGTGACTAAACAACAACAAACCTAAAATAAATATTGATTATAGCCAAATGAAAATTAAAATCCAAATCTATGTTGTATTTCTTCAAGCTGTAAATGCAAATGCATTATTACTGTGATTTTTAGAAATGTGAGACAGATAAAAAATTTTTAACTGTCTACTTGTCTCAAAAGAGGGTCAGGTGCAACCAGGAAGGCATCAGGTGGGCCTTGTCTGGCTACCAGGAACCAAGCTATCATTGGGAATTGTGGCTTGTTTTTTTCATTTATTCATTCACTAAAACTTTACTCCTGTCATAAGGTAGAAAAGACCTTGTGTTTGGCACCAGGGTAAGCAAGGATGTTGCAAAAATAGAAATTAAATAGATGGCCTAAGTTCCTGCAGCCTGATGCACAGAATGAGCCTAAAATCCCCCAGAAGAAAAGAATCCTGGATGAAAATTACCCCTCACACATGCCGGTGAATTGCATGGGCCCAGAGTTTAGCAGCCTCTGGGAAGGTGTTGCAAGAGTTTGTATTTTGACCTAGGGCTCAAGATAAAATCTGATTATAGTTATCTAGGGCCCTCTAATCAGAGCAAACATGATAGAAAAATTCCAGGAAATAGAAATTTCATGTACTTAAACGCTATTGAAGAAAGATTTCCTTTTTTTTCAGCCATGTCACATAGCATGCAAGATCTTCATTTACTGACCAAGGGTTGAACCCTTGCTCTCCACAGTGGAAGCTCAGAGTCTTAACTGCCAGGGAAGTCCCAAAGATTTCCTTTTTAAATGAAAAAATTTGGCAGCAATTAAAAAGATTTTGCAAGCAACAAGAATGTATTTCACAGCACAGGGAAATATAGTCATTAGTTTGTAATAACTTCAAATGGAGTATAATCTATAAAAATATTGAATCACTATGCTGTACACATGAAACTAATATAAAATTATAAATCAACTATACTTCAACTAAAAGTAAATGAATAACTGCTTTTGAAGCAGATATTTAAAATATCATCCTAGGATTCAGGAAATATTCCGTCTTCACATAGCTCTTTCTCTCCCAATCTGCCCTACAAGTAATTTAACAATAGCTGCCTCTTTACAAAGCAGGCCCTTAAAGGCCAGCTTAATACAATAGGAGGGAAAATAGTTAGACTTGGGCTCTCACAAAACTGTGTGACCTGGGAAAAATCACTTTAACTTCTCTTGGCCTCTGTTTCATCACTTGTTAAATGAGAGTAACAAAACTTTTATTAAAATCAAATGAGATACAATATATATGCAAACTCTTGGAAAACTTTCAAGCAGTAATAAATTTAAGAATTTAACTTTTTTAAAAAAATGAAAAACTATTAAAATATACTCACAGCCCATAAATGCTAACTATTGTGGTGTTTCAGGACTTCCCCGGTGGCTCAGCGGTAAGGAATCTGCCTGCAATACAGGAAACGTCGCAACACACTCCAGTATTCTTGCCAGGAAAATCCCATGGACAGAGGCGCCTGGCGGGCTACAGTTCATAGGGTCGCAGAGTCAGACATGCCTGAGTGAGCCCCAGTCACTCATTAATTGCAGATTAAATCTTGAGACCTTTATTGTCCTGAAAAGTTGCTCTTGTCCTCGGGGTCTCCTGGGTTATACTGCCTCTAGGTTATAGTGATGCTCTGGTGAACAGCCTCAGCAGGGAATTATCTTGCCTGTGTACAAAGTCGCTTCAGTCGTGTCCAGCTCTTTGTGACCCTATTGATTGTAGCCCGCCAGGCTCCCCGTCCATGGGATTCTCCAGGCAAGAATACTGGAGTGGGTTGCCATGTCCTCCTCTGTGTGAACTTCCTGACACATAGACTGAAAGCATCTCTTATGTCTCCTGCATTGGCAGGCAGGGTTCTTTACCACTAACTCTACCTGGGAAGCCCAAACAAGAAATTACCTTGGATGAAGATAAGCTTGTCTCTTCAAAGTGCTGCTAAAAAGACAACTAAACATAATACTGTTACCAATGTACAAGTATTTCTCAGAACTGCTTTTTAAAGGAACTTGCATTATGGCTACATGTGTACATTAAAAAATAATTTTTAAACAAGGTTTCAGAATGACACTGTTTATGCATTGTTCCAGTATCACCTAGAACTGCTTCAGGTCCTGACTGGGGTAGACCCAGGAGGTTTCCTGGATGTTTTTCCTCCTAAACATGATATACCCTGAGATATGAGCACTACGTAAAGGCATAAGACATGGTCTCTTCCTCTAAGGAATTTAGAAACTTTCATAGCTTCCCCTGTTTAATTTATCAACCTGTTAGTGTCAGATTTGAGAGTCTGAACCTCCTCATTGCCTCCAGACTTCTGATTTCTCCTCTAAGCATGCCTTCTCTCTGTGCTAATTCTGGCATGACACAAATTATCATCTACTGTGATTTTCATTGTTGTTGTTAATTCATTTGTCTCCTTCACTGCTCCTTAGAGCAAACGCTGTCTTTTTTTTTCTGTACCCTTAGTTCCTATTCGTGAAACAGAGTCCACTCAGCACATCTTATTAGGGATCCAGAATACATGCCATAGAAGATCCAAAACACTATCTCCCCTATCAAATTGTGAAGTCAAGGCCTGTACTTTATCTATATTTTTATATTAAGTGTCTAGCTCAAGTCTGGTATAGACTGAACACTCAAGAATTCTTGAATTATGTGTGCTAAGTGCCAAATAAGTGGTAAATATGGAATATAATAGGTGCTACAAGAGTTCAGGCTCTCAGAGCGAGGGCCATGAAGGAAAACTGCTCTGAGGAGTTAAGGCCTGGCCTGAGTTTTGAACAAAGGAAAGAACCTACCTAGGTAAAGTGGAAGGAAAATAGCGTATAGAGGGGTTATAGAATTTGGCACTTCTTCCTGGGAGTATGAGGAAGTAGTAAGGTTTTTTTTATGTTGTATCATGATGTACATCTGGAGATGGAAATGGCAACCCACTCCAGTATTCTTACCTGGAGAATTCCATGGGCAAAAGAGACTGGCAGGCTACAGTCCACGGGGACACAAAGAGTCAGACCCGACTAAGCCACTAACACACCCACATGATGTACACAGCCGTTTTTAAAATTGTAAATCTGGCTGTAGTGTGTAGGATGATTTAGAGGAAGTAACTAGAAGCAGGTCTTAGATATTATTTCTGTAATATTTTCCTTGGTCATTGAAGTTTGGTTTGGACACCCTATGTAATTGCTTCCATTACTCTTTCCTTGTTAAGTGCATGTAAACTTCACTTTCTCTCCAATTAAACTAAACTGTGCAAGGGCAAAACTGTGTCTGGTACAGTGCTATGTCTTCAACATAATGCTGCAGACATTTGATAAACTAAAGACGGTTTCCAGGCCTTCGTGTAGTCTCTAAGGCTGTGTGTGAGGGTAGACTAAGAAAGAGGTCCTCAAGCTGGTCCTTCTATATTCTGGACATATTAGGAGACACCAGGAGCTTACCATACTTATAGATTTTAGATATTTATACTTTTAGATATCTGCTATTTACCATAATTTATAGATACTTAGAACATGTTACTATTTGACATGAGTTGTCTCTGTAAACTGATCTTTTAATTCACTTTTTGCCTTTGTGATAGCTATAAGATCTGCAAAAACTTGTACCTTTTCTGCAAAAACTCAGTCAACAAATTTCTTTTCAGGCAGGAAGTCTTCCAGAGTCGTAGAACTTAGGAAAGTTAACAAATTTTATAACTAAATCAGTTTCTAAAAAGCTAAGTAACTCTTAAAATGACAATTAAGTTGATTTACATTGGAATTAAAAAAGAAGGAAATGTGATATATTTCAGGCTTCTTTAACATTATTTGGAATATTTGAAAGTGCACAAATAATCAATATTGAGACTTACAAGTTCCAATGTTTGCCCTCCATATCCATAGGGTCCTCATCCAAGTGTTCAATCATGGATAAAAAATACTTGAAAAGAGAACATCCATAAAGTTTAAGAAAACAAAATCTGAATTTGCCATTCACTGGCAACTCTTGACATATCATTTGCATTGTATTAGGAATTATAAGTAGAGATGATTTAAAGTTTATAATATGCAAACTCTGTGCCATTTTACAGCATTTTACGTGAGGGATTTGAGCATCCATGGATTTCGGTATCCACAGGGAAACCAATCCCACACAGGTGGATACGAAGGGATGAGAAACAGCTTTATTTTTATACCATAGCCCTAATCTATTAAATGTGTTTTAAAAGTTTTTTTTAAAAAAACTATTAAGTAATAATTATTTTTGTCTGCATGATTCTGATGTACTTGGATATTTTAGACATCTTCAGAATTTGAACTTGGCACATTGTTGTTAAAGTGTGTTTCCCTAATATAAAAGTTATTAAGTAGCCTTGGGAATTGTTTTGTGTTGTAAATGCAGCTTGCCTCTACTGAAAGTATCCTGCGGGAAGCTACATCCTCCATGTCTTTGGTGACCCAGTTTGAGCAGGAAGTAGCCACCCTCCAAAGAATCATGCATGACATTCAAAACAGTGAAGAGATGCTCACCCAAAAGATGCAAAGCCTTAACGAGAAATTCCAGAATGTTACAGATTTCTGGAAGAGAAGCCTAGAAGAAATGAATGTTAATACAGACGTTTTCAAATCAGAATCAAAACATATACATTCTCAAGTCACTGTCCAAATTAACTCAGCCGAACAGGAAATAAAATTGCTCACTGAAAGGCTAAAAGATTTGGAGGATAGCACAGTAAGAAATATTAGAACGATACAGAGACAGGAAGAAGAGGATCTTCTGCGCGTAGAGGAGCAGCTTGGCTCCGACTCAAAAGCGGTGGAGAAGCTAGAGGAGGAGCAGCAGGCTCTGTTGGCCAGAGATGAAGACCTGACTAACAAACTCTCCAGCTATGAACCCAAAGTTGAAGAATGCAAGACACATTTGCCGACAATTGAAAGTGCTGTTCGCTCTGTTCTGAGAGTCTCTCAGGATCTGATCGGGACAGAAAAGAAAATGGAAGACCTGACCCTTCAGATGTTTAACATGGAAGATGACATGCTGAAAGCAGTATCTGAAATCATGGAGATGCAGAAGACCCTTGAAGGAATTCAGTATGACAATAGCATATTAAAGATGCAGAATGACCTGGATGTTCTCAAAGGAAAAGTTCATGATTTTATAGTATATTCAAGCGCAAGAGAAAAGGGGACTCCAGAAGAATATAATCTAGAAAATAAAGAAATCGATAGTGACTTCTAAATGCACTGCATTTATTCTGATGAACCACACTATTATGCACAAGCTGATTAGCTCCAGGCTTTTGAGTTATTTCCATATGCCTCACTTCATCCTAAATTATTAGAAAGTGAGTGAGATATCACAAAAATGGATTATCCAAATAATCAAACCTTATCTTTTTAAGCAATAAAGCTTTTCATTTTAACCATTTTAAATAGAGATATTTTTAAAATATGTTTCTCTGCTTTGTTGAAGTATGTACTTAAATATTTTTAAATGTTTTTCTTGTAATTGTGTGTCTGCTCAATCTCTCAGATGCTTCCAAATCCTTGCGGCCCACCAGGCTGTAGCCCACCAGGCTCCTCTTTCCATGGAATTTTCCAGGCAAGAATGCCAGAGCAGGTTGCCATTTCCTATTCCAGGGAATCTTCCTGACCCAGAGATGGAACCTGAGTCTCTTGTGTTTCCTTCGTTAGAAGGCAGATTCTTTACCACTAGCACCACTTGGGAATCCCCTTTCTAATAGTTAACGGACATCATTATGAATTTCATCTGTTATATTGGACCCAAATATATTAATGTCCCTAGGAGCTATTGAGAGGTGTTTGTCTCCTTACTTTTAAGGACCGCAGTTTGCTCTTTTTCAAGTCTTACTGTCTCTTCCTTATACCTTTTCTGTCACCTGAAAAAGTGTTGCATTGACCTGATCTTACCATCAGGTGGATCAGTAATGTGTTTGCCTCTGCCAGTTCATTTCTGTTGCAGTTTACTGCAGGCTAAGAATCCAGACAATTTTGTCCAAAATAAAACATGCCTGGGGTGCTTTGCAATGAATTAATATGTACTTTTTGGAAACTGAGGAGCCTGGGAAACATTTTTACTTTTTGTTAAGGTTCTAAACTGTTACAGATAACTGTAAGAACTTTTTTTTAAAAGAGTAAACTTGTTCTTTTTGAAGACTTTCCCTTTGAATTAAGTGTGGATCCTTTGAAGCTTGGACTTTGGGAACATCTTTGTATACCTTTATTTTTTTTTAAGGTTCTAACTGTGTTACAGACTCTTGAGTTTGCTTAGTACATGATCACTAGATAAATTACTTTACTTATAATAAAAATATACCAATAAACCTGTGGCATATTTTAAAGAGGAAAAAGCAGCATATTGAGAAATAATGTGGTAATTATGGTAATTAAAAGTATGTCATTATTTTAGAGTCCCCAAACCAACCACCCAACCACATTTGTTTCACGCAGTGATTTTATTTTTTATTTTAAATTAATCTTTATTGGAGAATAGTTGCTTTACAATGTCTTGTCAGTTTCTACTGTAGAGCACACACAAAATTTTAATTTACACAAAATTATATAATAGAGTCACAAGGAACAAAACATGGACATATTGAGGTGAAATTAAGGGGAGGTCGAGACAGATTTTTGCAATAACGATAATCGGAAACGTACAGGTTTGGGGGAGCACATAAGACTTTTATTGGTAAACTGATGTATCAAGACCTATGGCTGATTCATGTTGAGGTTTGGCAGAAAACAAGAAAATTCTGTAAAGCAATTATCCTTCAATAAAGAAAGAAAGAAACTGAAAAAAAAAAAAGTGTCCAAGGTGTTAACTTTCAACTTGCACACAGAAGTAAAGTTCTTACTTGTTTCTTCCTGCCAATAACCAACAATAGTCCCAGTTTTGTAATGCGATTTCGGTGGAATTAAACACAAAGAACTTGAAAGCAGTCAGTTACAGAAGACAGGTGTGGTCGGGTGGTTTTATTATGTAAATTTGTACACTTTTGGAAAAGCTCCCAATGAATGCCACGTTGGGAATAGGAAGACTTCTAGTAGACAGCCAGAAAAGTCAGGCTGAAAGGGTGCTGCTGTTAAGGAGCATAGCGTTAACTTCTGGAATCTTAACATTAAATTTCTTGACTTTTTTTGGGGGGGGGAGGCTAATTACTTTACAGTATTGTAGTGGTTTCTGCCATACATTGACATGAATCAGCCATGGATTTGCATGTGTTCCCTATCCCGATCCCCCCTCCCACCTCCCTCCCCACCCCAAATTTCTTGACATCTGAATGTCTAAGTTCTTGTCTGTGTGCACTGGCAAATTGTGTTTGTTTTTCTTTATTTTCACACTCATAAAATAGATTATAAAGTTAGCCAAAACTGTTTCGTTTCAGCCTCCATCCTGCCAGGACAGATATGATCTCTTGTACTCTTCAGTTTTATATATTTACCTATTTTTTGGTGTGTCACCAGATTTGATACATCTTTATTATTAACTAGAATATGTGTCATAGTGATGGTTACAGGAAATAAAATGGAAATAAGGTGGTCGCTGAGCTCTATAGTGACAGTTACAAGGAATATGAAAGCTACACTTCTGCAAATATTTCTTAAGAAAATATTGTGCACGTGTATGTACACATGTATATATTCCTTTTTTCAGGCGTTTTCCTATTAAAAAGTGTAATTATAGAGATTTAAATGTACCTAATTTGTCTTCCTGTGTTTCTTAAATTCATTTATTTAACCCAGATACTTGAAATTTCAGAAAGTTCCCTAATGTATCAAATATTAAACTACATTATTAGTCTTTCCTTTAAGGAAGATTACCATGTTCTAAGACACATTTTTGTATCTTTGTAATTAATAATAAATTTTGTCAGTTTCTTCTAGAATACTGTGTCACTTTTTTTCATTATCTCATATAAGTCACTTACAAAACAAGCACCTAATATTTTTTAAAGTTTAAAAGTGAATTTGGGGAGACTCTTTACTCCCCTCAGTGTCTATGCTGATAGCTTTGTACTTCTCTTTAATAAATCCTATTTGTTTGCAAAAAATAAAGTGTATTTGTAGTAATAGTTCTTTAAATTTTGTGTTAAGATGAGAAGCTGTTGACTAAAGGTGAATTTTTATATTTTGCAATGAAAAATGTTGATTTATTAGCCTGTATGGTTTGATAGAAAACTAAATTGGTAAGATACAAAGTTAATGTTTTTGGTTTGGTTTTTTTGGGGGGTGGGGGTGGGCTATTCTGTGTGACTTTTGAGAAATCTTGGTTTCCTGACCAGGGATTGAACCAGTGCCCTTGGCAGTGAAAGTGTGGAGTCCTAACCACTGGATCACCAGGGAATTCCCAATAGCATTATTTTAATTTTAATCTAATTGTAGGTCTTTGTATGACTCTGTAATCTTGAGCAAAGATTATTATGATGTCATTATAAACTAATGATGCTACAAATTCACCAAACAGATTTAGTGTGCTCTGCAAATTCACTCAGCGTCTGTTTCAGTTCAGCTATGAACTATTAATTTCACACAAGTCAAAATGCTCCATCCCAGCTTTACAAAGCAGAGGAAGACAGAACCAGCCACTGCTAGGAGGCCTGCGGTCCTTCATCGTGCTAACAGCTCTGCATTGAGTGCCTACCCTGTCCCAGGCATTGTGCTAGGCACTTTGCATGTGTTATTGCAAATTCTCACTACAGCTTTGCTAGTTATGAGACCCCCTTTTACATATGAGGAGACAGATCAAGATTGTGAATCTTACAATCTCGCCGCTGAGTCTGTCCAACTCCAGAGGCCGCTCACCTCCCATTGTACCTGCTGCTGTTCAACCAAGGAGGAAAAAAGAAATCGGCTATCCATAGCACTATCTTGAGAATTCAAAAGGCCGTAATTCAGCCAAATGTGTCCACTACTATGTTGCCATTAAACTAGATATAAGTCCCTCAAAAGTTTTAAATGTGACCTAAAATTATGCGGGCTAAGGGTGTAAGAAGGAATCAATAGATGTTTAGGAAGACTGAGAAAGCAGTGGAAGAGAAAAAAACTTTAGACTGGAATCTTTTAATCTAGGCTTTGCCACTAACTCCGTGTGTTTTGGGGCAGTCTGGGGGCTCAGTTTTTTAATTTGTAAAATGAGGGAATTGTACCAAATAATTTCTAGAATCTCTTCTGGCTTTACAGTGTACAGTGTCAGTCACTCAGTTATGTCCAACTTTATGAACCCATGGACCACAACCCAACAGGCTTCTCTATCCCTGGGATCCTCCAGGCAAGAATACTGGAGTGGGTAACCATTTCCTTCTCCAGGGGATCTTCCCAACCCAGGGGTCGAACCTGGGTCTCCTGCATGGCAGGCAGATTCTTTACTGTCTGAGCCAGCTGGGAAGCCCCTTCTGGCTTTTAAGTGGTTTTAAATTCTAGAGATAATAAAATTTCCATGTCTCTTAGTATGGTTCAAAAATCCTTTAGCAAAGTTTTTGGAAGGCAGATTGGATCCAAAAATCATTCCCTTTACTCACGTTGCTTTAGCTTGAAGATTAAGACAATGTTTAACATTACAGGGCAGCATCTAGCTGCTGCTTCTTGTTCAGTCGCTAAGTCGTGTCCAACTCTTAGCAATTCAGTGAACTGTAGCAGGCCAGGCTTCTCTGTCCTCCACTATCTCCTAGAGATGTCCCTTGACTCAGTGATCCTCTCTAACCATCTCATCCTCTGTCACCCCCTTCTCTTCCTGCCCTCAATCTTTCCCAGCATCAGGGTCTTTTCCATTGAGTTGGTTCTTCGCATCAGGTGGCCAGAGTATTGGAGCTTCAGCTTCAGCCACAGTCCTTCCAGTGAATATTCAGTGTTGATTTCCTTTAGGATTGACTGATTTGATTTCCTTGCAGTCCAAGGGACCCTCAACAGTCTTCTCCAGCGCCACAATTTGAAAGCATCTAGCTTAGTACCTTGTTTATGTGATAGGAGTAGGCATATTAGTAGATATTTAAATTACTGGGTGAATCTTTTGACTGCTGATAGACTTCAGCTCTTCTGTTCATCTTAGGCAAATAGCTTAAACAAGCCGCTATGTAATAATAATTAAACAGAATTCCGTGAAGTAATTTCTAGGCTATTCCTAAACTGAACTGAGTTTCTATTTTAGTGAAGGCCAATAGAAATTCATAATATACTGTTTGTATAAGCTGACAAGTGAAACAAGAAGCTTACTAGCAGTTTCTTAATGATCTAATACTTCTAAGAATAAAGTTAGCCCTTTCTGAGATGTCTTCATTGTTTAATACTGCTAAGTTATATCTACTCTACCAGAATAGATATATTAATAAATGATAACCTAGAATGAAATATCTGAAAATAAGCCCTCTCCTTTCACCTTTGAGAATCTCTTTCAGCATATATAATTTGTTGCAAAAATTTCCCCTAAAAAATAAAACTTAAGGTTTTGCAACCACTGCTTGATTTCCTTCCTAGCTGTGGCTCTTCGTTACTGTCACACCCACTATAACATTTTCACAATCCAACTTCTTATGAAGATTAAAAAAATAAAAAACCTTTGGGCCACCTTCCCCACCACTAATCAACACTGCATAAACCTATTGAGAAAAATCTTAAAATATATTTTAGAACCAAATATATACGATGGGGCAAGAAGGGGGTATTGAGGCTTTGAATTAACTTTTTTACTGCCCCATTTCAGCTTGTCATTTCTTTGCACCTATATGACTGCTCCTTTTTTAAGCCACCATAAAAATAATATAACAAGCATATTAAATACTTATTTGCATTAAGTAGAACTAAGTTAATGTTACCAAAATAACTCCAGCAGGTTACCTGAGTGAACCAGGCAAATGCAATTTAATAAAGATGATTCAAAAAAAACATATCGAAGAAATACAATTATTTTGGAAAAAACTTGCTGACTTTAAACTGCATATTTTTTTAAAAAATTTCAGTCTGCATATTCGTTTTTTATTCCTTATTTTTTCTGAATTTTAAATAATCTATTTACATTTATTTTCTTTCCCAAACTAAATGAGAAACTTCTTGAAAGCAGAAAATGTTGACCAAACTAGTACATATCAGCACAGTAAATGTTGCTGATGAAGCTGGTTTTGATTCTTAGTAGGAAGCTATAGACAACTTCCACTTTAAAACAATGCCTTCCTAGGAAACAAGCTGAAAGTTAAATGTGCTAAAGTAGAACAACTGACTCTTAATGTTATAAATGGAATTCCTTTTTTCAATGTAATCATAATGTATATCTGTTTGGACACGGCTTTGACAATATATTTTACATGTTAATTTTTTTTCTTCATAGTTTAGCACACAGCACACAGGCATTAAGTTAATCTTCTGATTGAAACTTAAGCCTGATATGTGTTTTATTTTTTAAGTAAGTAAATTCGACATATAGCATTGTGTAAATTTAAAGTGCACAGCATGATACTTTAATACATTTATATATTCAGTCACCAGAAGGGAGGATATCCTGCCGTATATGACAACAACATGGATGGATTTTGAGCATGTGTGTATTAATTTTCAATTTTGTATTGTTCATGATACTTAACCATCTTATCACCATAATCAGCACTTTAATTTTCCCCTTTTCCTCTTAACTTTATTAACTAACAGCACAATGCAACAAAACTTCAAACATTCAAAATACAGTAAAATAACTCAGCTTCCCCAAAACTACTATATAACACATATACACAACAACAACAACAAAAATAACAACTTGAAGTTTTTCCAGGCAGTTGTGTGGTTCAAAATGGTCATCAGCTAATGTGTCCAAGTGAAACCAAAGCAGTTTAGAGACATCAATTTTCAATGGATGGTGGGGAAGGATGATGGCATTGAAAAACCCAAAAGGTGAGAATGACATGTATTTGGAATCACGGGATTTTAGAACCTGGAGATAATTGTTTGTTTGTTGTTTTGTTTTTACACATCCATCATCTCTATTAACTACTGAACTGAGTTGAAGCCACAGCTGAAGCTGTGCTCATCTTTATGTCCCTCAGACTTCACATGCCTAAAAACATTATAGGAACTTAGAGATCACTGCTGCTGCTGCTGCTAAGTCACGTCAGTCATGTCCGACTCTGTGCAGCCCCATAGACAGCAGCCTACCAGGCTCCTCCGTCCCTGGGATTTTCCAGGCAAGTGTACTGGAGTGGGTCACCATTGCCTTCTCCAGAGATCACTAATTAAATGGAATTAGTTCAACACCCCAAAAAATTTTCATGAAAGTATTCGACAATAAAGTCCCTTCATTCTGGCACTTGTTATACCTACAAACAAACTTGTGTTTCAGAGGTCATGTTGTCTTGTTTGATCCCCCCAATTTATTTATTTTTAATTAATTTCTACTGAAGCATAGTATAATTGTGATAGTTTCAACTGTGCAGCAGAATGCATCAGCCACTTTCCTTCTTCATATATGCCCCTCCCTTTTGGACTCCTTCCCACACAGGTCACCACGGTGTAGAAAGCAGAGTTCCTCGTGCTGTGCAGTATGTTCTCACTAGTTACCTGTTTTATACAAGTGCCAGCAGTGCATGACCTCTCGAATCTACCACCGCTCGCCTGCAGGAGGGGCTTCCCAGCTGGCTCAGACAGGAAAGAATCTGCCTGCAGTGCAGGAGACCTGGGGTCGATCCCTGGGTCGGGAAGATCCCCTGGAGAAGGGCATGGGTACCCACTCCAGTATTCTTGCCTGGAGAATTCCATGGACAGAGGAGCGTGGCCAGCTATAGTCCATGAGGTCACAGAGTCGGACATGAATGAACGACTAACACACACACACACATACGTACAGGTGGCTTCCTCCTCCTCCTCCAGCAACTGAGAAAACATCATTGTCCCTCATTGCGCTCATTTTGTCACTCTACTGAGGACTAAAGGTGCAAAAAGAACTGGAAAATGCCATTTGTAGTAACATGAAATTTCTTTAATGTTTTCCTTCCTATTCACTAGCAATACACAATGCATCCTTTACCAAACACTTTCCAGAAGAGTAGTAACGTTATAGTTAAAAATGACACCTAAAATTTAAGTTGTATCTTAATTGTTAAGTTTTTAATCAATTTAATTATTCTGGTACTATATTTTCTTACAGTGTCAGAAGTCTGAAGCTATCATAGAACAATTGAAGGCTTTTCAAATAATGACTCATCTAAAGCATCTACAGGAAGAAATTTATGAAGTAAAAACCTGGTCCAACAGGATAAGTGAAAAGCAGGATATACTGAACAACAATCTGACAACGGTTTCTCAAGATGTTGCAAAAATAGACCAAAGTACAACTTCCATGGCAAAAGATGTCGGTCTCAAGATTACAACGATAAAAACAGACATACGACGTATGTCAGGTTTAGTAACTGATGTAGCATCATTGACAGATTCTGTACAAGAACTGGAAAATAAAATAGAAAAAGTAGATAAAAATACAGTCAAAAACATAGGTGACCTTCTTTCAAGTAGCATCGACCGAACAGCAATGCTCCGAAAGACAGCATCTGAAAATTCACAAAGAATTAACTCTGCTAAGAAGATACTTTCTGAGCTACAGGGTGATTTTAACAAGCACACAGATAGGTTTTTAAGCTTAGAAAGTGACAGAGCAAAAGTCCTAAAGACAGTGACTTTTGCAAACGATCTAAAACCAAAGGTATATAATCTAAAGAAGGATTTTTCCCGCTTGGAACCATTGATAAATGATTTAACACTACGCATTGGGAGACTGGTTACTGACTTACTACAGAGAGAGAAAGAAATTGCTTTCTTAAAAGAGAAAATATCTAACTTAACAACAGTCCGAGCTGAGATTAAAGATATGAAAGATGAGATAAAACACATTTCAGATATGGATTAGACTGAATTTAGATTAGGCTGAAATAACGCTTTTTAATAGGACCTCTGTCATGTTATAAAAAGACTGACAGCCGGAAATAATGAAATTTTGGAGTAAATATTATTTTGTAGTAGGTTCTATTTTGTGCAGTAAAAATTTTTGAAGGACAAAGCACTTGATTTCCCAAAATAAATGTGCTAAAACATGTTTAGAACTTTATACAAAATGTGTTTGCAACTTTATATAGCAAGGACCTTATGCATTCCCCTTACATACACACTCATGTATTTACATGCATGCATGCATGCGTACTAAGTCGCTTTAGTCCTGTCCGAGTCTTTGTGACCCTATGGACTATAGCCCTCCAGGCTCCTCTGTCTGTGGGATTTTCCAGGCAAGAATACTGGAGTAGGTTGCCATGCCCTCCTCCAGGGGATCTTCCTGACCCAGGGATCAAACCCAAGTGTCTTACACCTCCTGCATTGGTAGGCGGGTTCTTTACCTCTAGCACCATCTGGGAAGCCCATGTACATGTGCACACACACACACAAATGTACACACACTCATGGTCTGCCAGTCTAGCACTGGGGAAATCAAGATGAGGCAGGATCTGAATGCCCTCTTGCTCTCACTGACTGCCAAGGAGCATGGTATGTGAAGTGGGGCCTTATCTGGAGAACTGTCCATCAGGATCAGGGTTATAACATGCATTATCCATTTAGTCAGCAAAACCACCAATATTAAAGTCACAACCAGGGAGCTGCAGGGGAAGAATCATGTAAGCCCTCCTGGGTCCTTCATGGCTTTAGGAAATAGGCAAAGGGCACCTAAAATGAGGTAGGAACATGGCAACTAGAGTAGGGTTTGGGAGGTGGGGGCAGCATAGTCAGAGGGCTTGCCAAGTCTCAGAGAAGCTGCCCCGAAGCAGCGCAACTCATGCGTGGTGTTGACATGACCAGAAGTGACCGAAGCAAAGGAGGCAGTTCTAACATTTAAAACAGCATTACAGGTGACTTCTCTGGTGGTCCAGTGGTTAAGACCTCACCTTACAATGCAGGCGGTGAGGTTCAATCCCTGGTCCGGGAGCTAAGATCCCACACGCTTCCTGGCCTTCCTGGCCGAAAAACCAAAATGTGAAACAGAAGCAATATTCTAACAAATTCAATAAAGACTTAAAAATGGTCCACATTGAAAAATAAAACAGCATTACATTAGCATAAGAAATCCCAATCTCATCACCATACAAATAGATTACATATTATTAACTATATTCCCCACCCTACATTTCATACCCATGATTCATTTTGTAACTGGAAGTTTGTACCTCTTATTTAATCTCCCTCTTAGTTCTCTCCACTTCCTGCCAAATCCATTCCATTTGTTTACTCACTAAGTTGTGTCCAACTCTTCTGTGACCCCAAGGACTGTAACCTGCCAGATTCCTTTGTCCATGGGATTTCCCAGAGAAGAATACTGGAGTGGGTTACCATTTCCTCCTTCAGGGGATCTTCCCAACCCAGAGGTTCAACTCCTGTCTCCTGCATTGGCAGACAGGTTCTTTACCACTAGCGCCACCTGGGAAGCCCTTCAGTATAGCCAACCTGACTTGCGTGCATGGCACTTTTGAGTCTGTAAAAACCACTCATGAAAACCTTAGTTGCTTTCTTGGAAATTCAAGTCACCTAAGATACATGAACCATGTTAATGGTGAGATCAGCACCTATGACTTCTGAGGATGTGAAGTCAGGGCTGCCATGCAAAAGAGAAAATGATTCAACAGATAATACAAGAGATAAGAGCTGTTAGGAGTAGTTAGTTACTAAGACATCTCATTTGATATTTCAGGAGAGGCACGATTCATCGAAGCTTGAAATTAGTTTCTTATCCATGTTGTATCTTGGATTTTTAACAATTATTTTGTGAATTATCTTACAAATAATAAAAATATTGTGTAAAAAAATACTACATAACTTTAAGCTTTTTATTTTGTATTGGGGTATAGCAGATTAACAATGTTGTGGTAGTTTCAGGTGGACAGCAAAGGGACTCAGCCATACACATACATGTATCCCTTCTCCCCCAAACCCCCTCCCATCCAAGCTGGCACATAACATTGAAGATTATGTAATTTATGCTAAAGAAACAGCATATAACTCTTAATTTAGTAGGAAGACTGACTGCCATGCCAAACTTGAATATTGTGGACACTCCCCCAAATGGTATCCACAGTTCATGAAACTTTCACAAGATACAGATTTGGTTAAACTGTAACCTCAATTTCATTGTATATATCACTGAAAGTGAGTCACTCAGTCACATCCCACTCTTTGTGACCCCATGGACCATACAGCCCATGGAATTCTCCAGGCCAGAATACTGGAGTGGGTAGCCTTTCCCTTCTCCAGGGGATCTTCCCAACCCAGGGATTGAACCCAGGTCTCCCACATTGCAGGCGGATTCTTTCCCAGCTGAGCCACAAGTATAATTCAGCAAAAATCAGACTTTCTAATAATCCAATTAAACTAGTAATCATATATACTCATTCCACTGGGTTCTACTTTGTAGAACTGAAGTTTTATTAAAACTAAATGTGGAAAAAAAAACTAAATGTGAGAAAAGTTATTAAAATTTCCTTATTAGAATATTTATTTTCAGCATGAATCAATTCTAAAATATAAAATAGAAACTCACATGTTTAAGTGGGCCTTTTAATCAAGTTTTGATTAAACGGTCTTACCTCAGTAACAGCTCTGAAGTGTCTCTGAGCTATAAACAGCAAGCAATTCTTGACAGCATGAGCGCAGCACACTTTGTCAATACCCACAAGTAAAACCTACTGCCTCACTTGAAAATAAAAACTTGAAACCCACAAGGCTGGCAGTGGAAATCCATCTCATGGTGTTTGGCGAACCACATACCCTAAATCCAGTCCCCCTTTGGCTGGCCATATATACAATCACACACACACACACACAATATTCACACATATCCAATCCCACAGGCTCTTACAATGTAACTGACCCTCATATCCACTGAGTCAGTACACAGTGTTCCTTTTCTTTGAAGCGGGGATTTCACTTTTGTGACTTCAGGTGATCAAGATTATAGTGATCACCCTGACCACCTGCTGACCAAAGCGATCACTATCAAGGCTAAGTCCTATAAAAAAGACCCGGCTCCAGAGTCCTGAAGTTAGTCCAGTTGCCCTGAAGACACCATACTGTAGATTTCAAGGAAAGGCTCAGCCAAAATAGGGAGATACTCAAAGAATCTCCCCTAGCCTAGATGTGAAAAATCCAGAGCTACTATCTCACTTAACTCCAGGAGAAACCCAGAAGCAGAAGGGTCCAACAGATGCACCTGAATCCCTGACCCACAAAAAGCTTGAGATCATATTGTCTCTTGCCAATATATTTCAGATGATTTGTCACACAACAGTAACTAATGCACACTGCTGACACCAACTGTCACAGCCATCATTGCTTGAGCTCAGACTGCAGCTCTACTCTTTTGACAGTTTTGGTCCAAATGTATAAGCATAACCCTTCTCTTTCCTCTGCAACAGGGGTAAAACAAACACCGGAACCTTAAACTAAACCAGGTGATGATAACATGCAGAAGTTAAACATGCAATAAGATGCACTTGTTTTCTAAACTTAGTTCACTGATCCTTATTACATGGGTTTGTAATGAGAACATTTCTCTTGCTGTTTAGACTGCTTAGTTTTTTCCTGAGGTCCCATCTGCATTATTTACACAGGGGCTACAAACTCAAGATTATTATATACAAAGGCCTCAAGGTAAAATGTAATCAGACTAGAAAACAAACTATATTATAGACAATCAGTTTGGGTTTAAATCAAATTTCAGATGCGTGAATATATCAAGTGCTGCTTTCTCAAGAGCATTCATCACCTGCTCCAGTTTGTCAAGTAAGTACCTTTGTGAAAAACTAAACTGAAAACAGCTTATGGTAAACTTTCTGTAACTTAGAAAGTCAGATTTGTGCGAGGACTAAAATAAGTTACCTAAAATACTTTCTAGCTATCAACAGGTTTGGTGTTTTAAAAACTATCATTCTACGAATTAGCCTAATTTAGATTAAGTTCTTTTACAAATAAATAGGGATTAGTAAACTGATCAGGATTTTTAAAAGTATACTGTGTTGCAAAATTTTGATTATATACTGAAATGTGTTTGTCAAAATATAACTACAAACGAATATTTATCCATATTCAAATTGAACAGTTAAATCGTTTTTAAAAGTTCAGGGCATGGTTTCTAAAAATGTAAGAACTCTCTCGAGTGACCAAACTTGAGACATATGACAACTTACAAATAGGGATGACAGTATTCAACCAACAGTAAATTATTTTCCTTGAGGTTTTAATGTATGCCTAATTCTTTCCACCTTAGAATTAATTCTTTAGCTTTAAAAATAATTATCAAGTCACAGACAAATCATGTACAGATGGGTTTATTTCCACATTAAGTTTGAAACTCAAGTTTGAAACTCTTGCTTTTGACAAGAGTACTACAGTAATTATATTAGGAATAGATAACTTCCTACACTGTCAAATATATAAAAGTTCCTTCTGCATTTTCCTCAAACACTGATCAACACGCAGATTCAGTCCATATTTGCTTTCATTTATCTACTGAGTGTACCCAAGCTTCTTCTTCAGAGACTCTGGCATCTCAGGGGGAGGAGGGCGAGGGAGCCTGAAGTAGACCTTCACAGAATCATAGATAAACCACTGTAGTGCAGTCAGAGTGCCAATCATGATGATGCGGGCAAAGAGTCCCTTCCATACACCTGCATAAAACATGAAATGTAAGTGAAAAATCTACTCCAAAGTGTTGCTCATTCTTCAGAGGAGAGGAAACAAATCCTACCTCTAAATCCAAGTCTCTTGAGGACCTGAGAGGCACTGCTACCCTTCTCTTTATTCAACACAGACACCACGGAATCGGCAGGGTGGGAAACAATGGCACAGAAGACTCCAGCTGAAAAAGTCAAGATGAATGATCCATTACAGAGTCAATTAAAAACTTTCTTCACATGATAGCCAACAAGCTGTTCATGAGTAGTAAAATTTACGTTTTTTTAAAAAAACAGTATCTTAGAGTGAGACTGACAAATTATAAAGCAGTCTACCCTATGTGAAACAGAACCACCCTGCAAGTTAAATTCACATTTTAACCAACACTTTCTCTTGTATTAAAAATTTGTTCTTGGAAAAACTACAAAAAAAGGTGTAGCAGTGAAGTCAATACATTCCCAAGTTTAATTATGACATGCAAACCACAGAACAATTATTTATGAGTATATCAAATACAATGGAAAGATAAAACTTCTTTGGAATATTTTTCCCTCACAGAAGTCAATAATGGAACTGACTCTTTGTTCTTAACTTCACAAACATGTTCTAAGTAGTTCATACCTATGTAACCTGCCACAAATGTGACAACCAGCTGCTCTGGCTTTGAACATTCACTTCGGGGCTTGGGAACCACAAACTTGTACAATGCTTCAACAGTACGTTCAAAGCAGGCAAACTTCATCATGGTGTATGGTATCTGTCTCATCCAAAGAGGAGCAACCCCCTTGTAGAACCTAAGAAATCAGAAGACTTATTTTGCTCAGTCGCACATATTCATCTAGCAAGACTTTTTCATTACTAACAGAAGTGTCCGCACACCAGTCGAGTCCTGATAGTAAAAAATGGCAGCACAACTGCATGTCATTTCTATCAGAACCTAAGACTAACATGCAGGTATATTTATCTTACATGCCAATGACTCAAGCACCTTTGACTATACAACCAAAAAAGTTGCTGGATGTTTCTTTGACTGGAACTACAAGAAACCAGAAGTTTACAAGTAGAACTCAGTTCAAGATTGGCATCCACAAAGGTGGATCTAAGGAAGCATGTGTGGCCTGACCATATGCCAAGTCTTAACGGTGAACATAGATGACAGGAATTCTAACAAGGGTACTTTCCAACCCCCAAGTTGATAGTTAATGTGCTAACAAAATAGTTTTCTCAAATGAGTATTTTATACTACATATTTAGGCAAATGTTTACTTACGCCTTTAAGCCTTCTTCCTTATACATTTTGGGAGCTGCATCCCTCAGAGTGTTAGCATAACCTGGTTGGGTTTGAATTCGAACCTTAGCAGCTTCCATAGGAGCCAGAGCAATGTCAGCAAAGAATTCAGCACTGGCAGAGGCAGCCAAATACAGTGATGTGCGCCACAGATAGGCATTCTCCTAAATGAAGAAACAAAAGGAGGAACGTGAATCGCTGTTGCATTGGCTGTTCTCAATGAGACACAGTTCTAGAAAATGGTTAAATTTCAGATATCTTAAGTGTTTCTCTATCCCATAGATAACACACAACACTGAATGCTTCTCAGTAGTCAAGTGTTTACGCTGGACTGCAAGGAGACCCAACCAGTCCATCCTAAAGGAAATCAATCCTGAATATTCACTGGAAGGACTAACGCTGAAGCTGAAGCTCCAATACTTGGCCACCTGATGCAAAGAACTGACTCATTTGAAAAGACCCTGATGCTGGGAAAGACTGAGGGCAGGAGGAGAGGGGGACGACAGACGATGAGACGGCTGGATGGCATCACCAACTCGATGGACATTAGTTTGAGCAAGCTCCGGGAATTGGTGATGGACAGGGAGGCCTGTCGTGCTGCAGTCCATGGGGTGGCAAAGAGTTGAGCAACTGGACTGAACTGAACATCAACCATAGTACACTGTGAATATTTTTAAACTCAAATCCAACTTCCTTGGAAAGCAGCACAGCATAATAAAAAGAACACTGAAATTTAATGAAACACAGTTTATCTTATCCTGTCTCTATTAAAATAGCCTTATGATTTGAAACACGTTCACTCTTTCTGAGAGTATTTCTTCAGCTCTAAAACAAGGTGGATCAAACAAAGAAGGTGCTTTTTGGTCTTACCCTTAAGTTAAAAGCTTAGGACTTTCCATTTCAAAGTTAAATTATATACCTCTCCAAGCATGTTGCTGTACAAAACCTTGAAGACTTCATAAAAGCCAAACTTGCAGAGCCCCTGCAGGGAGTAGCCAATGAAGGTCGGGGCCCATCCTTTGGCCAAACCACGGAAACCATCCTCTTTGAGTGTAACCGAAAATCCATTAAAAATGCCCTTGTACTTCTGTGGGTCCACCTTTACATAAAACAGGAAGAAAGAAAAGTACATGTACCAAAGGAATCACACTTCTCACAGATAATTTTGTTACTTTTTTTCTTTTGGCTTTTATATAATCTTTAGTAACTATACAAAGTTAGGTAAAGACAAGTTCACCCCATGTTATCCACTTAATGTCTATAATTATCTTTGTAAATGTAACTTTTTATACATTAAAGCCTAGCTTTCAGTGAGACTTAAGTCTTAATAGGTTATTAAGAGGATAAAATTCCTACAAAAATACATAAACTGACATTTTAAGAGATTTTTCCACCAACCAACTCTTCTAACCACTTAAAAATTAAGTCTTAAAGCTACTTTATAAACAATATATTATGTCTACATCCCTGAAATATGCTAGTTCATTAAGTATAGTTCTGTGAACTTAAGACAGTTAAATACAAATTAAAAAGGTACATCAACATAATTCTCTTTTGACTTAAATTCATTTTGAGACACGCATAAAACGCTTTAGCAAAAGGATACTTGATGTTCACTCTATTAACTAACAGGGGTAAAAATCTTATGTATTTCTGCCAGTACTATAAGGGCTGGTATACATACATCACCTTCCTCTCCCTGCTAATATTTCACCTTCCTTTCTCTTTTAGGTTAAGCAGACTTCTAATCCTGTTTGGGACAAATAAATTTTTGATATTTGATTATTTTTGTTTCAATAATCCTAATTAAGACATTTTAATTGTAAAAGAAAACCTTTCATGTAAGTATGCAAGAAGCTTTGCCCACAAATTTTAAATACTCAAACACTGTCTTTTTTTTAAATCTACAGTGTTCTCTGCCTTGATCTTATCAATAAATAAGAGACATGAGGTCACATCATACAATACCCAAAGAATGACAGCCTGCTCTGACACATACCTGCTTATAAAATGCTATTTGGACGTAACTGCTTGTAAAATGCTATTTGGAGCATAAAAATCAGCAGGCCTTGAAGAACTCTAGGCAGAATTAAGCCCAGCAGCAAAAAAGAAAAAAAAAAACACAGCCTTATCTGAAAAGAGGTATTTCTTGGATTTAAAACACTGAAGTAAAAATCTTACTAAGTAAAAGAAACTTGAGTTTGGTCTCCTACTAAAATTTCTGGCAGTTGTAATGTCTTCAAATTCTTCTCACTTGTGAAATCCTTTAATATTATTTGGAATTAAGTCATACACAAAAGAGATGTTCAATGTTGTCATCTCAATACAAACCTGCATACGGCATTTCACTAAATCCAGAGGAACAACAGCAGTGTGTGTCAGACCACAACTTAAGACCCCACCAAAGCCACACAGTGCATAAAACTTCGCGGAGCCATATTCACAACTGTACTCTGTAATAAGACAAGACACACCATGCATTTTAATATAATACTCATGTTACTGGTTATCAACTTACCTCCTGGACAGTTAGGTTTCCACACAGCTTGTTAGTAGATAACAGCCATGCTTCAACAATGTTTTATTTAGTCCAACATGCAAAAACAAACCTGCATCCTGCATTTAACCAGATCTAGAGGAACCAATGCTGTATGTGTTGTGCCACAGCTAATAATTCCTCCAAGTCCACAAAGGATAAAGAATCTGCCAGATCCATAGGCACAGCTATACTGCTCTGTTTGATTGAAAAAAAAAATCAAATAAGTATTTCTTCAGAGATGACTAAGGCCATGGGAATACAAGAGAACCTACATTTCCTTGTGAAAAAGTACTGTCACAACTTAACAGCTCTGGCCACGGTTTACAAGTAAACAAAGATAATCTTCCACCTGGTGTGAACATGAAATCCACTGCCAAAATCAAAACAATCATTTAAAGATTATGAAGGCTCTTATCTGTGAGATACCACCCCTCTCTCATTATGCCATATTAATTTTAAAGAAAGTTTTCTACATCGTTAATAGCTCTTCCAATTAAAACCAAACTTCAGATTATTAATGGCTGATAACACATATCTGAGGTACAAATCAAACTCAAATTGTGTAAAAGCTTGCAAACCTCTTACCCCAACCACTAACCAATACTATTCCCACTTATAGATTCCCATAGTGTAAAACTAGATAAGCAAATTTCTGCAGTCAAATATTTACTACACAAATGACCACAGATTTAACTTTCTAAATTTAAGGACCGAGTGATCATGTAAGGGTTTTTTTACCCACACTAAAGACAGAACAGAAAGACATACATGATTTTTTAAAATCTTTATACAGTTTACAAGTACAAGGTAGGTAACATTTTCAGTTCTCTTCCTGCAATTTGATTTTCAAGTTCCTCTGTAAATACACTCCACTGGGATTTAAAACACAAAGGATTAAAATAAAGTTGTGTCTAAACATCAAGAAAACCGAAAGAGACGATCAAAGGTATTCCTATCAACTACTATCTCCTTTCTATGGTCTCTCTGGCAGCTAAAAAAAGACCCAGTTATCTCACATAGCTTGTGTCAAATAGTATTAGACCCCGGGGAACACCTATGGGAGGGAATAAAGGAACAACTAAGGGAGGGAGTATATTTAAGAAAATTAAAGCAAAATCAAAGAATAGGTAATACAGTTAGAACTACTGCGGCCAGAAGTTAGGAAGGCTTTATCCAACACTTAGTCGGCTGACCAAGCGGGCTCACCGTGGAGAAGATAAGGAGCTAGTCACGGCCTCTATGCCTCTAGGCGATCGAGGACGTGGAGGTCACGGAGGGAGCAGAGCCTAGGCCCTTCCACGCCCTTGAGGGAGGGCCAAGGATCCGACACCCGGCTGAGGGCGGAAGGGGCTGACATCCTCGGACAAAGCAACTGGGCGCCGTCCTGAAGGGCTGAACCCGTCCTTCCCTGTCCTCCAGGCTGGGCCAGGCCACGAAGGCCGAGGGGGCCACAAGTGGACCTCCCGACCGTATCGGAAGAGGGTCTGACCTCACCTTCTACCGCGGCGGCTGCCAGGTTGCGGGAGCGGCGGGGTGGGCCTGGGGGCCCGGTGGGGTCGCTGCGGGGGCCCGCTAGACCATCGTGCACCAACTGCAGGTGGGGCGCGTTGAAGGGGTTCGCCCGCGCCAGGTGCACCACGGACGAGTACATCTTTCTAAGAGAAGAGGAAGCGGTTTAAGAGGAAAGGCAGAGAGGGCTGGTAGGCCCGCCAAAGTCACCTGCACGCTGGGAACCTCTACACGGGCCTTGCCTCTTCCCGTCTCCGCGCCCTTGAAGAGGTCACAGCGGCCTCCCCAAAGGAGGAAGTTCACCGGGCCCACAGCCAAAGTAGTACCCCACCCCGGCTCCGCTCTCTGCACCCACAGCGGGGAAGGCCAAACCACACTCACTCCCTAAGATGGCGAACACACAACCGGCCTCACAGAAAGGCTGCAGCTCACAGAGGCCGAACGTCCTCCGGGCCTTTAGATCTGTGCCCTTCGCGCGTCGTCAGCGCGACGCACATAGCGCGTCACTACCGGCAGATAGCACCCATTGGCGGAGAAGAACGCAGAGGCCTAACGTCATCGCGTTCGCCTAGCAACCGTATCCCCGCCCCACTCGCCCCAGCCCTTCCGCCCCAGCGTCCGCGCAGGAGGATTCATTCTGCGCTTGCGCGCATTCCGCGCAGGGTTTTTGAGCTGTGTGGGTTCGTGCTTGTGACCTTCTCTTTTTGTCTCTTCACCTTCAAATGTCTCTCTTAGAATCCCGGCTGCCGTTCTTTTCATTTAAATGAGTCCCAGTATAGTAGTTACTTAAAAAAGAAATGCGGATATATGATGATATATTATTTCGGTGTTGGAATGTCACTACAGTATTTTGTGCCACAACTTCTGCCATTACGGTACTTTTTTTTTTTAAGTTGCATCCATTGACATTACACATAGACTTTCTGCATTTCCCATCAGACTTTAGAAGAGTATTTTAAAAGGAAACGTGTAATAAGAATTCTTAAGACTGCTTGCTGCCTCATTACAATAGTTTATATAACATATCATAGCATTGGGACTTACCAGGTGGCAAGTGGTAAATGCTTGCCAATGAAGGAGACATAAGAGACTTAGGTTCTATCCCTGGGTAGGGATGATCTTAAGACATGCCCTGGAGGAGAGCATGGCAACCCACTCCGGTATTCTTGCCTGGAGAATCCCATGGATAGAGGAGCCTTCAGGGCTATAGTCCGCAGGGTTGCAAAGAGTCCAACTGGAGTGAAGCGACGTAGCACGCAAGCACGCACATGATAGCATTAAATAAATTATTTTTAACAAGTCGGAGTTCGAGGGTGAACTAGAGTGAGTGACTGGCAGCAGATTTTGTATGTCTAATAAATTTAGAAAATCTTCGTTAGCTTTAGTTAAACGAAGACCTACTTTAATTAAGAAGAATTCAGTAGAGGTCAAACCCCCGTTAGAATTTTGGCTCTCACATTTCCCTGCTGCTAAGTCGCTTCAGTCGTGTCCGACTCTGTGTGACCCCATAGACAGCAGCCCAGCAGGCTACCCCGTCCCTGGGATTCTCCAGGCAAGAATACTGGAGTGGGTTGCCATTTCCTTCTCCAATGCATGAAAGTGAAAAATGAAAGTGAAGCCTCTCAGTCGTGTCCGACTCTTAGCGACCCCATGGACTGCAGCCTACCAGGCTCCTCAGTCCATGGAATTTTCCAGGCAAGAGTACTGGAGTGGGGTGCCATAGCTATTGTTAAAGTAACTTTGGGAATTTACTTCATCTCTGTGCACCTGTGTGTTAAACGGTAGAAGCAGAGCTGGCCTCATGGGCTTGTTACCTGTACAGTTATACAGGACCTATGCTTGGTTTAATTTCTGTTGTCACCGTTTTGAAATTCTTAATGAACAAGAGACCCTGTGTTTTTCATTTTGCACTGGGTCCTGCAGATTGTAACTGGTCCTGGATAGGAGTAATACCTTTCTTGCAGAGTTTGTGAAAACTCAGTGAGATAATATCATTTTTTTTCTTCCGTTTTTGTTTGATTGAATGGACCTGAAAAATTAAGCTAAGTCATGTATACTAATGGTAGCAATATTGACTAAAACTCCATTCCTATATAAGCATGCAAGATTTTTATAGAAAACTAGCATTACTATATTAGAAAATTATTTACTGTTAGCATCCTAAAGAAAAAAACTGGACAAACCTTTCAAAAGCAGATATCAGGGGCTTCATTCTTGTCAGTTTCCCATCCTTTGACTAGCTGCTGCTGCTGCCAAGTCGCGTCAGTCGTGTCCGGCCCTGTGCGACCCTATAGACGGCAGCCCACCAGGCTCCTCTGTCCCTGGGTTTCCAGGCAAGAACACTGGAGTGGGTTGCCATTTCCTTCTCCATCGTTTGACTAGAGTTCAATAATAATTTTGGTGAGATCAATATTTAGAGTTCACATTTTTATGACTATTATTTATAGTAAGCGATGGTGAATGGTATGATTATATTTCCAATATTGAATGATTTATTATCCTCCAGAGGTAATAATTGCCACCTTTGACATTTATTTGGGTTTCCAATCACTCATCACTAATTCAAAATCTGCTGTATTAGTTTGCTCAGTTCAGTTCAGTCGCTCAGTCGTGTCCGACTCTTGCGACCCCATGAATCGTGGCATGCCAGGCCTCCCTGTCCATCACAAACTCCCAGAGTTTACTCAAACTCATGTCCATTGAGTCGGTGATGCCATCCAGCCATCTCATCCTCTATCATCCCCTTCTCCTCCTGCCCCCAATCCCTCCCAGCATCAGGGTCTTTTCAAATGAATAAACTCTTTGCATCAGGTGGCCAAAGTATTGGAGTTTCAGCCCCAGCATCAGTCCTTCCAATGAACACCCAGGACTTATCTCCTTCAGGATGGACTGGTTGGATCTCCTTGCAGTCGAAGGGACTCTCAAGAGTCTTCTCCAACACCATAGTTCAAAAGCATCAATTTTTCGGCACTCAGCTTTCTTCACAGTCCAACTCTCACATCCATACATGACCACTGGAAAAACCATTAGTTTGCTAGAGGCTATCATAACAAAGTACCTCAGACTGCATGGTTTAAGCAAAAGAAACTTCTGTTCTCATAGTTCTCAGTGAAACAATTTGTAAAAGTGAGGATTTTTAGCCAAGGGGCAGAGTTGGGATGAGTGGGGTGTCAATGGATGAGACATTACTAAGAGGTTAGGGTAATTCTTGCTAAACTGATGTAACAGGATTCTTGAAGAAGGCAGGCCAAAGTTATCAGATGTCACTTGAGAGATGAGGAATTTGATTAGGTATTGAGGATAATCAGTTACCAAGTTTGGGAGATTCTAGCTAAACCAATTTGCAGAATTCTTGCTATACTTGGGCTTCTTATGATTATGCCCAAGGATGGGCTTAGTGGAAAAAGGGCTCAGAGTGTCATAACTAAGTTGGGTCAAGGAGAGAGTTCATCAGTGTCTTCCTGTAGTATACCAAGGCAGTCTGGCATTTTAATTTTATTTCATATAGGCCACCATTGGATTAAAATTTCAGCCAAACTGTTTACAGACACTCTCAGCAGGTTGAGCTAAAACAATGCGCTGGGATATGGTCTTTACTGTATTCATATCAATTAACTTGGCTTGGTCTACCATTATATTCCTTCCCTTTTATTTTAGTTATTGCTACTGATCAAATTTCCTCAAAATTTAAAGACATGGAACAACAAACACTCTCAGCTCATGCTTTCTGAGGGCCAGGAATCTGGATGTGGCTTAACCGTGTGGCCTGACTCAGGGACTGTCATGGGGTTGTAGACAAGCTTCTGACTGGCACTGTGGTGTCTGAAGACTTGATCTGGGCTGGAGGATCTGCTTCCAAGATCACAAACTTGACTGCTGGCAGGACACTTCAGTTCCTCATCACGGGGGCCTCTAGATAGCGCTGCTCGTGACATGGCTTTCCCAGAGTGAGTAATTCAAAAAAGAAAGAGCAACAGAAGCTGCAGTGTCCTTTATATCTAGTCTCAGAAGTGACGCAGCATCACTTCTGTATTTTATTGGTCACACAGATGAAAACGATGTGGGAAGAGAGGTGGGGATCATTGGTTAACTACTTAGTTAACCTCTAGTAGTTAACTTGAAGTTAACTACTACACGTCCAACCAAACATGCTTAGCCTTCATCCCTAGGCATGCTGCCCAGGTTTCTGTTAACGTAAATCTTGTACTCTTTTTGTCTTACCTGCTAGGATCTCCTGCATCAAGGTCTAGAAGCAGTGGGAGGTATTGCAGTTGCTTTTGAGAAAGCCTAACACACTCTACAAGGCAACTATCTCAGGGAAGTCTATTACAATTTTTTCAGGTAAGGAGCAACTAGGCTGCACAGGTAAGGGAGAAAGGGCTATTTCTACTAGCAAAGGAGGCTCAACAGGATTTAGAGGTTCATGATCCCAGTGTCATCTGAATCTTCTCGTGTGTTCCCATTCACACTACTCAAAAACAAAACAAACAAACAAGCAAAAACCTTGTTTTAACACGAGGCCCGCAAGATAGGAAATTCAGTTGCATTGTAATTCAGGATTAGATTTTAGGTTTGGTTTGGTTTTTAGAGATTACGGGCTTCCCTTGTGGCTCAGCTGGTAAAGACTCCACCTGCAATGTGGGAGACCTGGGTTCAATCCCTGGGTTGGGAAGATCCCCTGGGGAAGGGAATGGCTACCCACTACACTCTAGTATTCTGGCCTGGAGAATTGCATGGACTCTATAGTCCATGGGTTTGAAAAGCATTGGACACAACTGAGCGATTTTCACTTTCACATTTAGAAGTGCATATAGGAAGGCAGTCATATATGTTTTCTGGTCGTTTTTCTCATCTTGAACTGAGAGTTTAAAACCCTAAGTTCATCATTTCCTTTCCCCTAGTTATCCAACATAGTTAGGAAAAGAAACAACCCCACTGTAGTCCTTATTTTCACTTAAATATTCTCTGGAAGCATCTACTTGGTCACCCAAAGCTTTACCTTATTTAGCCATTTTGGTAATGATGTCCACAGATCATTATTTAAGAATTTTTTTTTTCTAATGCATGTCATGAACAACAATGTCACAATTATGACAACTGGTTACCAATACCTTTAAATTCAATAAGACCAGATAACTCAGA